CAAGTACAGGTATTAAACAAACATTTCCTTGCAATAATTGGTTAGCTGATGATGAAGGTGATAAACGTATTGAACGTCGATTAAAAGAAGATACATTATTACGTAAAATTTATCTATCAGGTAAATAAATAAAAGATTATTTTCATTAATTAATTTTCTTTATTTAGCTACTCCATGGCACATATGGATATATACAAGTGATAAGCAAGGAGCAAGTACAAATGCTCAAGCAATTCTTGTTCTTTATGGTAGTAATGGAAAATCAAAAAATATTAAATTAGAAAGAAATTCAAATACATTTCAACAAGGTAATTGTGATCAATTTGAAGCAGATATATATGATATTGGTGTACCATCGAAATTACGTGTTAGTCTTAATAAGGAAAGTTTATCTGCATCATGGCATCTTGATCGAGTATGAAGAAAAAAAAAGAAAGGACTCTACTGGATTAGGTGACCTATTCAGAAGTGACAAACTGATAATACCAGATTGTTGAGTAAGTCGAACCGCGCATCGGATTGTATATAGCAAATATGATCTTCATAAGACTTTCAAAGAACTCGAGTCAATCTATTGAGAGATGATTATTGTAGTTGTTGATCTCATTCGAAAGTGTTTCTAAGAAGTTTATTTTGATATATAGTTTTATAGAGGTTCTCTTGAACTACAAGCTTATATATCAATAATTTATCACCGTTTTTTTTCTAATGGTAAGTCTCCATGTCTTCAATAGGAAAACATGAAGACCCAACATTAGCGAAAAACGGTGATAAATTATTGAAAATCGCTTTTGTTTTTTCTTATCAAAGATAATATGATCGAAGATGAAACGTGTATAAGCTTTAGTTCGTGAGAACCTCTATAGAACTGTATATAAAGAAAAACTTCTTCGAAACACTTTCGAAGAATATCAACGACCACAATAATCATGCTTTGAGTACATAGTCATCTCTCAATAAATAGACTCGAGTTCGTTGAAAATCTTATGAAGATAAAATTTACTATTTAAATTCGATGAGCGGCTTGATTTACTCAATAACATAGTATAATTGGTTTCTCAATTCTGAATAGATCACCTAATTCGGCATTATCCTTTCGTTTATTTTATTTAATTATGTTCTTAGATTGAAATGAAAAATCTTAAAACAAATAAAAAATATACATTTCGTTGTGGAAGATGGTTATCAAAAACAGAAGGTGATAAACAAATTATTCGAGAATTACCAGCTGAAGGACCCGAAATATCAAGACCTTTACCTATTGTTCAATATAGAGTTGATGTATATACAGGAAATGAAACTGATGCTGGTACAGATGCAAATGTTTTTATTAATATTTATGGTGATTATGGTGATACAGGAGGTTAAATATCAAATTTAATTATTAATATTTTTTGAATGCAAAAAAAAATATATCGTATATTTTTTCTAGTACGTTTATTAGAATATTCATTACAAAATACAGATAAATTTGAAAAAAATCAAGTAAAAATAAATTTAAATAATATTCATTTCAAAATTTTCTTTTTTTAAAGCTTGATAGTTTTATTATTGAAGCTGTTACCTTAAAACAAATACGAAAAATTCAAATCGGTCATGATGGTACTGGTTAGTTATGCTAAAAAAAAAATATTTTTTTTACTTATTTATTTATATAATCATTAACTAGGAACACATTCTGGATGGTTTTTACATAAAGTTGTTATTCGTCAAGATGATCAACATTTTGAACCAGTAACATTTATTTGTAATAGGTATTTAAACAAAAAAAAAGCGTAATTGTTTAAATAAATAAATAAAAAAAAAATAATTTATTCTTAGATGGTTTGGTGTTGATAAAGATGATAGACAAATTGTTCGTGAATTACCACCAACACAAAATTTAAATAAAATAACATATAATATTAAAATAAAAACTGGTGATGTTTTACAAGCTGGTACTGATGCTGATGTACATTTGAAAATATTTGGTGAAAAAGATTCTACAGATAAAATTCCACTTACAACAATAAACAATAAAAAAGCTCTATTTGAATGTGGATCTATCGATAATTTTACATTTGAACTTTATGATCTTGGCAAAGTTTGTTAATTGCCTTTGATTTATTAAGATTATTTTAATATTATCAATAGATTGAACATATACTTATTGGACATAATGGAAAAAAATTTGGTGCAGGATGGTTTCTTGATTGGATTGAAATTGATATACCAATACGTCAAGAACATTATAGGTATATGAATAAAATCATATTCGTTATCAACGTAATTTCGAAAACTTAGATTACTCAAATCTCAAGATAATTAGATTTTCTAAAAACGATCTTATATATGTTACATCTATGTTCAGTTGCTCTAGATATTTGAAAAAAAAATTAGCACTAAAAATCTTTGTTCTGAGAAGTCATCAGTAAACAACTAGCATTAGTGATGTAACGAAGTTCGAAACCAATTCCAAACGATACATATCCTTTCTCAGAATCTTTAGATGATGATAAAAAAAAATAGAATCAAAATCAAATGAAAGAGGGTATACCATATGATTTAGATACTAAGTTTTTCCTTATAAGATGACTCTCAGAGTTTTAACAATAAAAACATTCGATATCTTCAGCAAGAGGTCATCGGCACTAGTTTTTTTTTTAAGGTAAACAAAGTTTACTAAGCCTAATAAATAACAGAGATGTCTATTGCTGCTTAAAAGCTGCTGTAGTGATAGAAAAGAAAAGTGCAGCTATGTCGCTGTCGTGATGGTAGTTTTCATTTTTGTTACTTATACATAAGATTCATTCAATGTGAGAGTGTCTACCTTGTAGATACTGATATTCTGTGCCAATTTCTGTAGTATTAAAATTTTCTCTAGAAAAAAAAAGCTTCCACCGAGATCAATAGCTTTAATGAGTAGTCTCTATTATTTAATTCAATTGATAGATATTTAAGTTCGTTTTATTTTAATGTTTATCTTCGATTTCAATAGATTTAATTGTAATCGTTGGTTAGATGAAAAAGAAGGTGATGGAAAAATTGAAGTTGATTTAACACCATCGGACACAATTAACAAATCAAATCGTAAATATTAAAACAATTGAATTTGATATAACAAAAAAAAATTATAATTTAAATAATAAATAATATTTTGTCTATAGTTATACCATATGAAATAACAGTTTTTACTGGTGATAAAGCTGATGCTGGTACAGATGCAAAAGTCTTTATTCAAATATATGGTCCACATGGTAGAACAGAAGAAATTCCTCTGGAAAGTAAATCTGATTTATTTGAAAGAAACTCGGTATGACTAGTTTTCAAGAAACTTCGATTTTTCTTTTAAACGAATTTTATTTAAGATTGATAAATTTAAAATCAACGCTCCTGATATCGGACCAATTGAAAAAATTCGAATTGGTCATAATTCAGAAAATGCTTCTGCAGCATGGTATCTTGAAAAAGTAAGATTTTATTTTTTGTTGACCAAAAACAAAAAACAAAAAAAATTCTTATTTAATAAAAATCTTTCAATTTAGGTTCTAATTCAACGATATTTAAGTAAATCATTTGATAAACAAAAAACGAGATAATAAGTTCAAATTTGTTTTTGTTTTTCTTTTATATTTAGATAGTAAATCTGATCGATCAAAATATTTAAATCAAATTAAAACATCAGATTCAAATATTGAAGAATATTGGTTTAATTGTCAACAATGGTTTGATAAAGATAATGGTGATAAAAAAACTATTCGAGAATTGTTACCTACTTATGACAATAGTGATACATCAAGTAATCAAAAAGGTAAAA